AAAAACATTGTGATATTACTGTTGCTTGTAGGAACTTTCCATTAAATAACCCAGAGCCGTTGAATATTCATGCTCTGGTCTTACCCAAATACACATTTATTCAATAGTATAGCACATAGCATAAACAGTCACATGATGTTAACAGTTCAACAATGCAAAATGTCCTGTATTAAAGACAGTGTATGGCTCAAAGTGCGCGGTGACGTCGTGGCGGACGTAGCTTTGAAGGATATTCACGACTTCTGCTCACGGAAAAGTACGCGACGATCGACACGACTGATTGCTTAGTTTGCAAAGCAGATGCACAAAATACACCTCATAGCATGCACTGCACCACTGCACTGTCTGTGGTCTCAGCGCGCGAGGTTGCTGTGGTGAGGTTCATTAATGTCGTGATGGCAGAGAGAACCGTCTCATCTGTGTTACTCGACAGGCAGAATATCACTAATGGGACTCCGCCGCTTTGCAGGATCAGATCACGGGACTCCCGCTCCATACTGAGGTTACACAAACCACCTGTAGGATTTCAAACACTGTTGGTTCACGTGAATAGATTATAATAACAGCTATTACAACAGCTATACTAACCAGTGGCGGTTCGTCGGGGGAGGCACAGCTTCCCCATAATTTTGAGGTGAAAATGGGAGGACGATTTAATGGTAATAAAATTCACAATTCATTTCAGTTCATGTCTCAGAATGTGTATTTTAGCCTCCCTTTAGGCTAGCCTCTTTTCTGATATCAACCAATCATCACAGAGACGTAAATTACGTGCTATTAGTTTGAACATCTGCCGCTGCTGTATGTATGTCGTTTTCTTTACGTTTTCTGACTAAAAGCAACCAAAAAGCCATTTTAAAGTGATTAAGCAAATAATAATAATAATAATAATCGGCAGGGATCCCAGACCAATACAATTAGTGTGCCTCCTCTATTTTAAAACCCACGAGCCGCCACTGATACGAACCAATTCCAAACTCCACAAAGTTCTCATTCTCTTCTGTCAGCATGTCCAGGAAGAGCTCATTGATCTGGAGCAATCGCAGCGCTTCAATGTTGGATGGATTGTAGGCAAAGTTGGCCAGGTTTGCCAGCACTTGCTCTTTAGCCTCTGCCAAGAAACAAATGATGTGACAGTTTTCAGACAACCTAATACCTTTTTTTAGAAAGACAGCTGTAAATAATAACTCTATGTACTGATTATAGTCTGTCAAGTAAAGGAATATAGCATGTGCAAACTGCTTCAAGCACAAATATTTAAATATGTAGCGTGTCTGCAAACATTGTCATACCCTCACTGTCAGTGTCCTGAAACTCTGTGACCAGACCCTGCAGGTACTCAAACCTGTCAGACACTGAGAAGTGATTCTTTCCTGCCATCACAGAGGAATCATGGGTAACATGGGTTTAACACCTACAGACAGACCAACCGACTGTCAGTGTGTAATACTGATGGACAGACAGATAGAACTGTAATACAAATATACTTTAATAAGAGCTGGGTAGATTACTTGAAAATTGTAATCCGTTACTGATTCCAAATTACATGAAAAAAAATGTAGTTAGTAACAATCCATTACATTACACATTTTAGGTAATATAATCGGACTACTTTTTGATTACTTTTAGATTACTTTTGACCTAACTCGTTTATCATTTTGATTTAAATAGGATAATCTTGTACCATATTGATATAAAAATGCAAAGAAAAAGTTTATTTAAATATTTTTTTTGTTTTGTTATTAACATAATGAAGTACACTAAACATTACATTACGTCAAGGTTTCCCAAACGGGGCTCTTGAAAGAACTACAGTGGGTTCGAGAGTTTAATGAAAAGCTAATAATTAAATCATAAAAATGTAAAATTAAAATAACAACTATCAAAATAAAACACTTACTAAAAAATAAATAATTTAATTTAAGATAATTCAAATAAAAATGAAGGTGTTCATCAGTAGTTAATGCAAGAAATGTTGAGAAAACACTTCAAACTGAAATGATTTTTGTAAATCCAGTGGTCAAATGCTGTGTGGCCTCTCAGTTGGCCGTGTAATTACAGCCACCTGACCCTGACTGGTCTTTGTGTGAATGTCCACAAAACTGGAGGACTTTCTAATGTATAATGTATAACCGGTAGGATATTTTAGAAAGGAACACGTAAAAGATGAAAAAGAGGAATTAGGGAGAATCAATCAATTTTGAATAATTTATTGCTATTGTATGAATAATATGTAATCATGTAATCAATAAAAAAGTAACTATAGTCTGATTACGAGTATTTTAAAATGTAATTTAATCTAATTACAAGTACTATTTTTGGAATTTTAAAAAAAACGTAATCCAGATTATGTAATCAGTTACTACCCAGCTCTGCCTATATTACATTACAAGAAAGTTCGTTATACTGTTTTATTACACCGTATAAAACAAAAGGTTTGTTTTACTGATGTAACAGACTGATAGACAACAATAATAGCAATAAAGACGATATGAGACTGATGCAAGTGTCAACGTAACGATACTTGTGCAGAATAACGCTGACGAAAGTCAATCTTGCTTCTGCAATAAACTTTGAATTGCATATTTACAGAAACGGTCTGTATACGGATAGTAAATCCAGATACATTTAATCCAGAATGTCATGATTTGTTCAATGAGGAGTTTCGCATCACATGCTCTGCGCGTCTGGTCCGTCAGTAAATACTTCCCCCGTCATCTGGAGTTCCTTTGATCCCCCTCATTAATGTGCGTATAAGTATCATATAATAACAAAACATTTTACTGTGTAAATTATTCAGAACATCGCCCTGATTCTTAAGGCAATATCGCGAATAAATTAAGTAATCTATTTTTGAACGCACGAGCCGGAAGTAATGCTTGGGGTTGATATGTGCAGTATTATATATTCATCCGTGTGGAGGTCAGAATTAGTTTCGCTGAGACTTTTGCTGTTTTGTCTGCTTGCTTACACGAACTATACAATTTCAGCATGAAACAGTCCAAACTGTCCACTGGAAAGCGCCTCACAAAACCGATTCTTTTTGGGACACTGCTAGTAGGTTTGGCCACGGCATTTCTGAATAGGTGAGATAACACACCCCCTTGACATTGACACAACGTGCACATCTGTATATAATAGTGTTTAGACTATAAAACAATACACAATATTGTGCAGTTTGGCCGTGTTAAAACGAGTCCTGACAAAACACATGCGGATACATGATCAAATATAATAACATATATAAGGATCATTCCAAGAATCCGAAGGCTTTGATTACCTGGTTAAGGTGTGTTTGATTAGTCTGAGATTCAGTATGCAATTATGTGTGAACAAAACTAGTTGTGATTCAGTACAGGCGTCATCTGTGTTGGTTACTGTACATTCGAATGCTGAACATTCTAGCAGAATAACTGAACATCTGAAATAATGGACTAAACAGTGTATGCTAAGTGGTTAAACCTGAACTGCAAAGTAAATGTAGAAAATTAAATGATACTAAATTGCAGTTATTGTGAATTAATTGCAGAATAAATGCATGCAATGTAATGCTTTTTAAATGATTATCATTATAGTGCTGCCTACAAGCGTTGTAACTAAATAAGATCTTTGCTGTTGGGTCTGCTCATTCATATCATTATTCTGCCTTATGCATGAAGACATTTGTTCATGGAGGACCTGGCAGATCTCAGGGAGCAGGAACGATCCCGCAATGAGGCCAAACGGCTGGAGGTGCTGGAGAGGAGGAGGAGACAAATAGATGAGCATGCAGAGAAGAGTGCAGGGGACAGGTGAGACGACTGAATGGAAGACTGCAGGAAACCAACACTGAAGACAACATGGGACATTTTTGCCTATAAGGATTTGTGAAGTGTTATAAAACTTTTCCTTGATTGTTCTGTTATTGCTGTAATGGGACAGAAGTTGCATGGAAAGTCTAAGAGTGATATAGCAAGCAATGATTTGAATTGATTGCCTTGATCATATTTAGCTGTAACGGCTGGATTTGCAAGAGGATTATACATTACACAAATGTAAGATGCAAATGGTGGTAATTATTAGTGGGCCAAATAAATATGTATGTGCCTCATTCCTGCCACTGACAAAATCTACTTGGATTTGATTGAAAATATATATTAAAAAAAGAATATTTTATTTATCAAACAATTTATGAATATTACAAAAGAAAAGACCTAGTTAAAAGTTAAAAACCTAAAAAAAATTAATTTGCTTAATTTTTTGAATATGTTATGTCCCATTTAAACAATTTTTTTGAATATTAAAAATGTTGTTACACTGTGCAGTTGGCAATAAAGCCTTATTCTAAATTTCTTCTATTGTTACACTGCAGCTGGCATCAGTGTTGTTATTGTTAACTAAATCTGCTAAAAATAGTTTTTGTTCATTTTAATAAAGCTGAAATTAAAATATTAGATAAAAACATAACTGAAAATTAGGAAAGTTGAAAGTGCTAAAAAGTTGAAGTACTAAAATTACTAAAACTGAAATAAAAATAAACCAAATACAAGTATAACAAGACAAGTACAAGACCAATAAAAAGCACATAAAATTACTATAACTTAATATTTACTAAAATTACTAATTACTAGAATTAAAAAGAAAACTGAATCTATAAAAATATTTTGAAATATTAATAGATACTATAATAGTATATATAAATAATACTACAATAACACTGGCTGGCATAAAAGCCTTATTCTGAAGTCCTTTTAACTGTAACATTTTTCAGTGGTAACACCACAGTTAACATTTTTGTGTTCGTTACAATAACACAGACTTGTGAGAAAACTACCATTTATTTGAGCACACAAAAGTAACAAAAAGTGCTTTTAGAACACATTGCACTATTCAAACCAAAATGAATAAGATTTGTCATTCACAACAAGGAGAAAAAATAAGGTATGTATATTCCAACAAATACTATGAGGCTGGGAAACCAACCTGAGACTAAATAGCAAATGCATCATACATTATTACTACAGCAGTCGATTGTCAACATGACAGAACCAGTGTTTAAAATGCAAACCTGCTGGAGCCAAAACACACCTTTCATGTGCAACTCCAAATATCTTTCACGCTGACACCAGGCCACGTATCGGGGGAAGTTTACCCATCAGAGGCACACATTAGCACTTACTATAGATCCTACTGAAAAAAAAAAGACAGAAGAATTGGGGATAAAACTGGAAAACAGTTTTCATGACATATAAGTGCACATGTAAGTCTAGATAGTCAGATCTCCACCGTTCATCTTCATTTCTCCTTCAATATACAGTATATCATATATATATATATATATATATATATCAGGTCTACCTTCTTGTACACAAACACTGCATGTGTTGCACAACATATATTAATAGTGTAAAATCCCTTTGTTTTTAGCTTTCACACATATTTCCATCCAACACTATAGCAATAAATACATTTTTGGACCGTGGTAAAAGACATCACATTTGCAAAGAACAGAGAAAACTAAAATAAATATGTACATATATGCTTAAATCTAAATTAACAGTAACCATAAATATATTAGATGGGTTTATAAATTTTTTAGGAACTATTAACAAGTACTTCAGCAGTAAAATGTAGGATATTGCAACATAGAGACTAGTATGAGGTGCTGCTGCAGTTGGGCTACCATTACTAACCGCGATGTAACCCACTGTAATCTCGACTTTGATTCAGTAGTGTATTAAAAGGAATTGTTATATTGCTGTAAAGTGGTTATAATGGAGTTTATGTGTGTTTGAGGGTCACACGCTGAGCACCACGCTGGATGGAGAGTTGGAGCGTGGCGGAGCTGTGATGTTCGTCATGGTGCCGGGGTCCAAACCGTTCACTGTCCTGCTGTGCTCAGAGAAACATGAGACTGAGGTTAGACGCTTCAAATGAGGCATTTGTGCCCTGTACAATACAAGCCTCCAGACCATTCATACTACTGTTAGAATTGTCGCTAGTATTTCTTTTCAGTCCACACCAACTGGATAAACTAGCACAGAATTTAGCACGAAATAGCTCTATGAGACAGAAACGGGCTTTTGAAAGGTTTCCCTGAAACCAAATGGATAGTTAATATGCGTAGAAAAGCTCACACGCGAGTAGGTCAGAGTGAATTGGTGTAGATAAGCAAGCAGAACAAACTCTAGCTCTGAAACTGTAGATTTTCTCAGGCAGAGGTCTAAAACAGCCCAGACCACTCAATACGGCCCCCGGAGACACACCAGACACAAACACTCTACTGTCCATCAGTACAAAGGTAATTTGATGACGTCCAACAGCTACGCTTCACTGTGTCTGTTCGTGTTACCTTGAAACACACAAACATAATAAGTGTACTGCACCATTATAAAATCAAATCACTAAAGTGTACTGGAGACTGCGAAGGCCTGTTGTCCAGATCTAAACGCTCTGCATCATCTTAGCTCATCTATAGTTCTGATAGGTCTTACGCAGCAGAAACACAAGCCCCGGGCATCCTCTCCGTGCCCTTTACCATCCACTGATACTCAAGCTACAGGACACACTGATTCAGCACTGCAGTGAACGTGTAACACTGCGGTAGAGGTGTGGATCCTCCTCCTGATCCAATAAACCCTCAAATATTCTTGAGATGACTCTTTTTGTCTTCTCAAATAGATAAAATGGCAATAAAGCTTCTTATTTTTAAGAACATGCTTAAAGTCAACATGAAATTAAAATGGATTCTGTTTATTTTCATAATACGAGTTCCTGGTGTTATTAAGCATAACTCGTTCGATTCATGTTTTTTTTTTTTTTTTAAATGTTAGTCTTCCTAATATTTCACAAATGTTTGCCTCTGAAACTATTTATTTTCAGCTGATTTCACATTTAATGCTCAGGTTTAGCTACTGTAGCTCTACTGATCTGTTCTGGTACACTACAGTTAAACATTTTTTATTTTTTTTTAAAGAAAATAATACTTTTATTCAGCAAAGATCCATTAAACTGAGCAAAAGTGATATAACGACTTAATAATAATGTTACAAAAGATTTCTATTATTTAAAAAAATCTTAATGACCTAACTTGTGAATAGTAGTATAAGTAATGCCCACTTTTCTCTTATCCGCATGAATCATAGAGGTACCCCCTATATTTTTTCTTTTCATTGAATATTTTGTTTCAATCAGATATTATGAAGTAAGTCATATTATGGAGTAAGGCGAGTTGCAAATCTCGTTTCATGTTTACTTTAATAAGAAAAATGAACTTGATCTATCTAATAACTGTCTAATCCTGTAATTCATTTCATACCGACAGACAGATGAGAAGAGAAACTCTTAGTTTAGCACTCAGGGTGAACTCCATAAATGTATCTTTTTGTTGTTGTTTTTTTTAGAGAATGTTCATGTTTTGAATCTTCAGCTAAGAGTCAAAACACTGGCCCAGTCCTCTCACATTTAGTTAAATTAACCACATTTGAGCAAACCTATGGAGTGCACCTTCACAGACTATTTGAGCCACCACCAAGATGTTAGTGGAGATGATATGATCTTAACCTAGTGGATTATTATACTCCAAGTCATATGTAGGGGGTTGTTAACCAGCATGCATGGACCCCCACATAAAACTGCTAGTCGGATAATTTACCCAGAAGCAACGCAGGGAAAATGACCCTCTCTCTTCTGCTGAGGAGAGAAACACACAGAAGTCTGAGAGAATTTGATCTCCTGCATCACTTAAACTCATTATTACAATCAATCTGCAGTTAATTTCAATCCTCACATTAAAAACACACAAGAAAATTAACAATTGAGTACTGAAACCTTTTTTATCCTTATTTATAGCCTTTCTGTGAATTGCTTTCAATAGAAACCAGGAGGATTTCTAGGACACAATGTAATTATGGGTAACGTAGATCAAATAAGGTAACTGTTTATCAACATCTAAAGGTTTATTGATTGGGTTTTCTGAACTGTGGCAGAACAAAATAGCCGACTCACGCTTTGTCAAAGTAGGATGTGTAGAGAGAGTGAGAGTAATTTGAAATGTCTCCGTTAATCAGATTGCCGTTGATGTTTGTGGCATAGTTCTTCCTGGCTGCCTGGTCCCTGGCAAAATTTCGACAGGCTGCGAGCTTAGACTCTAAAGCCTATGAAACAGTACAAACACTTGGATTAGACACCAAATTCACACTGTGATCCACAAACAAAACAGGGAACAATTATTTGTCTGAATAACTTTCATATTTCAAAAGTTTACAGTCTACAGCATTTACACACCCCAACTTTGCGCAGTAAATCGCCAACAATATTGAGCGCTGATATTCTAGCAGATGGAGTGAGGGCTGCATTAGTGGAGCTGTTGGCCAGAGCTGCAAAAGACAAGAACCAAGTGAGTCATGCAAACACATGTGGCATCGTATACATCTCAGAAAGAAATGTAGCCGTCTACCAGTCTGGCTAGTGAAAGTATTGTCCAGGTTCTTGCTGATCGGTGTAGCCGGCAGAGACAGGGAGGCCTGGACTGCGGAGTCTGTTTGGTCATTGTCTGGAGTTGGAGAGCTGGGGGCCGACATTCGTGTGACCTCGGGCCGGCTCTCTCGCACTGCAAGCTCTTGCCGCAAATCTACAAATGCATGTTAAGATAATGAGCAAAATATAGATCCGTAACTTTCACTTGCAGAATATAATGTTGGTCTGAGTATGTAACATGACTTCATTCCACAAGCAGACAGGAAAAGTTTTTTAGTGACAGAAGAACAGGATCTGTAAACATCACTTGAGCAGCCTGGAATGAGGAACTAGCTGTAATTACAAGATAAATACCTCTAGCTTCATCTTTTAGTCTCTGCACAGACACCAGGAGAGACTCCTTCTCATCCAGTTCACTCTCCAGAAAGGCGTTCCTCTCGATGGCCTGGTTCAGCCTTTGCTCAAAGTCCTCCAGAGATGTAATCGTGGCTCTGTGGTAGCAAAACATAGCAGAATAAAACTATAAATTACAACAGAATAGTGGAAAGGCATACAATCTACCAGGGCAGAAGACAACATATAATCAAAATAGAGCCAATTTTAATTTCTTAATGTGTCACTGTGCACAATTCATCAGTGCACATTATTTTAAGAATGCTTGTTTTTTTATAAACTTTCATCAGAATTTAAGTTTCAGTTTCCATTAAACTATTTTTTTTGCTGATAACAACAAAGGGATTTCAAATTTTTAGGGTCAGTAAGATTTTTTTAGTTAATAATAATAATAATAATTCAGCAATAGTTAATATTTTTATTCTGCAAGGATGCATTACATTGATCAAAAGTGACAGTAAAGACATTTATGATATTACAAAAGCCATCTATTTAAAATAAATTCTTCTTCTCTTCCCTCTATGCATCAAAGAATTCTAAAAAATAAATCTATCAGTTTTCAATATTAAGCAGCCCTCCTGTTTTCAACCTTGATGATAAATGTTTGTTGAGCACCAAATCAGCATATTAGAATGATTTCTGAAGGACCAATGGACGCTGAAGACTGGAGTAATGGCTGTTGAAAATCAGCTTTGCCTTCACAGAAATAAATTAATTTTAAAATGTATTAAAATAGAAAACAGTTACTGTATCTTTGATCAATTCAATGCATCTTTCAAAATTATTTACAAAAATCCTACTGACCCAAAACTTCTTACCTGTAGTGTAATTTCCCTCCGAATATATTTCTTTAGGAATTATATCACATTATGGATTTTAAATGCATTGTGAATGCCATTTTATGTCATCTTTCGAGAAGCATTCTGGCTGTGATACAGTAGTGAAATGTATGGTGAAGTAGTGACCTCTTAGCTCTCTCCAGGTCGTCATTGGCCTGCTCTAGCTCTCTGACATATTTATGCAGCTGCTCCTTGATGCCTCGAGTCTGGCTGAGGTCGTCCTCCAGCACTGAGACCTGTTTATAGCTCTGAGCATACTGATACTCCAGCTTCTCCTACAGGAAAGAGCAAGCAAAGACACACTCATTAGACTTGTCCTCGCTTTAATGTTCTTTACACACAGTCAGTCTGTGTTCAGCTCACACACTCTCACCTTGAGCGAGTTGAGCTCATGCTGCAGTCTCTCGTTGTCCGCCTGCAGGTCTCTGATGCGATGCTCCGCTTGGCCCAATTGTGTCTCCAGTTCTGTCTCCAGCTCTCTGCTCCCCTCTTGGAACTCCAGCAACTCCTCCTGTGCCTCCTTATAACTGAACACACACAACAAGATAACATTTATCACTAATGACACATGCATAACATTTGCATATTCTATTTCTTAAACAGAGCTTGCCTTGCACTAATGAACACCAAAAGTTGTATTAAAACTCTGGCAAACCATACACTTATGGTTCTGCTGAGGTGATTTAAATTTGAATTTACAATATAGTTCAAAAGTTTAGGTTAGTCATTTTTTAAATAAATGATTACTTTTATTTAACAAGGATGTATTAAATGTATCAGTATTATTTATATTGTCACAGATGATTTCTTTTTCTAACAAATGCTGTACTTTTGAACTTTCTATTCATCAAAGAATCCTGAAAACACACACACACAGTTTCCACAAAAATATTAAACAGCAAAACTATTTTCAACATTGATAATAACAAATGCAGCTTGAGCACCAAATCAGCATATTAGATTGATTTCTGTAGGATCATGTGACAGAGTAACTAGAGTAATGGCTTTGCCATCACAGGAATAAATTACTGTTTCAAAATTATTTTAAAATACATTCAAATGGAAAACTGTTACTTTAAATTGTAATAATATTTTAAAATATTACTGATTTTACTGTATTTTTGATCAAATTAATGTAGTCTTGGTGAGCAAAGACTTCTTTCAAAAACATTAAAATATCTTACCGACCTCAAACTTTCAAATGGTACTCTACGTTTCCTGTCTAAGTGGGTGGTTCTTAGCCAAAAGAAGCTACAATTAACAGACTTTGGACTACAAGTAAAACTCTAGTTACACAAAACTAATCAGATCCTAGAAATCAATAACTGTGAGGGGTCAGTGAAACCTCACTGCAGGAACTACTCTCTACTCTTCAACTGAAAATAACAAAAATAAAGAGCTATGAGATCCATTGTTATCTGTACAGGATATTCTGAAGACACATCATACACACAGACTGATAAGAAGTCATCAGAAACAGCAGTTTGGCATTTCCCATAAATACAAGGGAATATATTGTTATGTAATATTATTTCTTTCCTAGTTTAATCCAGGAAATGCTACAAATATAATGAAAGGCCATCACAGTAGCATATTAACAGTGGAAATATGCACAGAACAATAAAGTCAATAAAGTTTCTGGGCTCCCAAAACCTTGGACAACTCACTGATTATACCATTATTTAATGAATGTGATCTACTAGCACAGTGTGAATGGGGCAGGCTGCATCTGCTGTAAATAACCAGTTTTGTTTACAGTGTACCAGTGACCACGGGAGAGCACTGCCTTGGGCCTCTTTATGTAATCACCAGCCAGCATTATGGTGTGGAAGGATCTAAAAATGGCATCGGGGCAATATTTCCCTACCCAGCCATGCTAAAGCCACGTGAGCCGGGAGACAAGGAGACCAATAAAACTGTGCAGAAAGTATGTAATGCCCCGGCAGCATAGGAGAGAATCAACATCACAACATCTGTGACTCATTTTTACATAGTCTCTGAAGTGCTGATTAGGGTGTTTTACTAGCAGGTCAGAACTGGGTAGATGGAGTTATCACATGTCAGCGAGACCCAGAGGAGCCTGCGCTTCAAATGCAAGTCTTAAATCGTTATGAACATAAGTACCACACTAGAGATAGCATGTGCTTTGATAAAACAGCTTTAAAGCATTTGGCAGTTAAACATATGATATGACACATTTTTTTAAAACCAAAGCTATTTGTTTGTCATCAGTTACTATTAGTTACTATTGTAAGGCCCGTTCACACAAAGAACGCTAACTGTAAAGATAACTGTAACAATAATTACATCAACGTTCTTTTCACAAAGGGAGTCTGAAACACTCCATGCTGGAAATGAGAAATGCTGCTTTGGGATGCAATTTACCAAGCAACAAGCTTGTTGTTTAATCTTTTTAGATTACAACACCACTGAGAGCTTTTCAATGGTAAAATCAGCAGCGGGAGCCTATATAAAATCACAAAAAGCTAAACCCGTTGAAGAAAATTCCCACTGTGGCAGATTGAATAATACTAATGTGACTGCCTTCAAACGTACAGCAACTTCCTCGATATGGCTCTCATAATGTAAGGGAACAGGTTGCATGGGTACTCCCAGCATTTAGAGGCAGTGTTTTGTTTATCCAAAAGGCAATGTGAATAGCGAAGGCTGAGGACAACATGAAAGAAAGCTATCAAGTGTCAGACTACAAAACAGAGAGCCGAGTAACACTCAATGCTGCTCACTTCACTGCCACTTACCTTTTCTTGTACTTGAGTGAAAGAGCCTTCCAGAAGTCAATTTCCTCGTCTTTGGAGGTGAATTTTGGTATCATATTTGCATCCATGACAGATAAGCCTGTGACAAAGCATCAGCACTGTTTAGCATACAAAAATGTAACCAAAATTAAATACTGAAATTATTCATATGACCATTAACTGCAAAGGCACAATATTATGCAAAAAATATTAGCCTAACACAGCATGTTATGATTTTTGAGGATGAAGGCATGTCACACAACCTGTCAATGTTGGCTGCGTCTACCAAGTGACAGATGTGCCAAAATACTGAGTTTTATTGGATGCACACCTGTGACTTTAATCACAAAAGATATGGAAATTATTTTATCCTTCCTTCATAAGTTAAAAGTCTACACTACTGTTCAAAAAGTTTGGAGTTGGTAAGATTTGTTAACATTTTAGATAGCAGTCTCTCATACTCACCAAGGCTGCATTTATTTGATTAAAAGTATATTGAAAACAAATATTGTGAAATAATATTACAATTCATCTTTTTTCTTCTATTTTTAAATGTTTTAAAAAGCTGAATTTTCAGCAGCCATTACTCCAATCACATGACCCTTCAGAAATCATTATGTTGATTTGGTGTTCAAGAAACATTTCTTGTTATTAATGTTGAAAACAAATGTTGAAAAATCTTCAAAAGAACAGCATTTATTTAAAATTAGAAATCTTTTGTAAGCGTATTTATTTAGCTAACTATGCATTACTTGCATTTAGCATTACTTTGTATCCATGACCCAAACAGGACAGACCTGTGATCCATTTTTGGGTCACAACCCACCAGTTGAGAACAACTAAGATAGATCAGTCTCTGATTTCACAATCTGAATCTAGCAGCATGAACCTCAGTTCACCTCTGACTACTGCTGTCCCAAATAATCAATAGAACTGCGTGCAGTCTGACCCAGCCCATAGAAGCTCCATGTGCCCTGTTCACACACGCCAGGACACATTCACCCTCTGGTTATAGGTCATTGTCTGACATAGCATGACTCTTTACTTGGTAACTGTTATCTCAACACTAAACAGAAACAGAAGGACAGTCAAATAGTCCATCATAGACAAATAATATTTAGTGAGATATTTAGATAAAAAGAATATTGTGTACTAGACTCAACGTAGCCTCTGCTGTACTTTCACAAGAAACTGACAACTAAAACTAAACAGACAACTAAAACTCACAAGCCTTACCGGCACACCCAGACTTCACTACCTTTTTATTTTCTTTCTGTTTCCTTATTTAATTCATTCTTCCTTATTAATGACTTCTCATTGCATATCAAAATTAAGCTGGTGTCCTCTTAATAAAATACTTTAAAAATCTGTTTTACCTTTTTTTTTTCATTGAAAAGAGGGCTGGCTATACATTTTATGTGTGAAAAACTGTCAACATCTGATTCAAATCTATATTTACATTCTGCTAAAACAGTCGATCCGCAAAGGAAGGGGAAAATAATAATTAATAAATGAAACATCCTCAGAGAATTTACAAAATGGAGAAAGGAAGAAAGGTGGAAAGATGTTTAAAGATTGATAATTAGCAAAAACAAATAAAAGAAAATATGTATATAAATAACCCTATATATAAAATATGTAAAATTATACCTGCTGTTGCCATGCAGCTCAAATATATATCTAAACTACAGCTATTGCTATATAGAGAGGACAAAGTTAGAAAATAGTAAACCTTCAAATATAAAAAACAGCCTTAATATACAGAATTAAATATTGATTTTCAGTCACCTTAATGGTCATTATAAACTCTTAATGAACTGAAGCGCTCTGCAGCACCAGATGACAGGCGTATTTACACTGTCTAACAACTATACGATAAATATGTCTCCTCTATTTAATCATATCTACTACCAACACAAGTATCGAGGACAAAAAATATCACATCTGACATATTTCTCTCCAAATACCACTGACACCACCATAACCCTTCAATTTTCACTATCGCGCTACATTAGCTAGCCAAGAGCTAACTGACATTAGCTAACAACAGTGATGATGCGCTTTGAATTGACACGAATAGACATGGCAATAATAATAAAATTATGTCTAAACGCATAATTGTGGCTATAGTGAGTGTGATTTGTTATATTCAGTTTCTCTCAGATGATGTTGATGGAGCGAAGGCAGGGTGTTGTCTTATTTCTAATTATCTGTAGCAGTAAATCAGTGACTGGTATTATCATCTGTGATGTTTAAAGATCTGCATCTTGTGTAAAGATTGCGATGTGAATTAAAGAGCTCACCTGCACATTTCCAGGATCTTTAACGCTGATAGTAGGACTGACTGTGATCAAGGCACAGCCTTCACAGCCTTCAGTATTTCAGCATCCTCTCTCTCTCTCTCTCACCCATGACGTTTGTGTGTCTCTCCCTCTCTCTCTTCCCCATGAGGTTTGTGTGTCGTGTAATCTGATCCTGGCGATATCGAAAGCCAAATGGTTCAGAATTCGCGTGCTTTTCACAGGTATTGATATTAAAACGCCGTTTTCATAACGCCGCCAGGCGTTAAAGGGTTAGTTCACCCAAAAATGAAAATTAGTCCATAAATTACTCACCCTCAAGTCATCCTAGGTGTATATGACTTTCTTCTTTCAGACGAATTCAGTCGGAGTTATATTAAAAATTGTCTTTGATCTTTCAAGCTGTTTAATGGCCCTCAGCGGGTGTTGCAGTGCATCAGTCCAAAAGAAGTTAAATAAAAAGTGTCCATCCTTAATATAAAGTGTCTCACACGGCTCCGGGTGTTGTACACGGAAGCAGTTCGGGGTGGATGACGTATGAGGTCGGCTTTGCACATGCCGCTCAAAAGTGACGAACGCGGAAGCGCAGCGGAGAGATCAAAACAAAACAACGGTCACTAATTAGAAGTACAAAACGAGGATTTGTAAAGAATGTCGGAGGATTTCAATATAAGCCAAGAGGAGACTGGTGTTCCTTTGCTAAAGTAAGGAAACTTTGCTTCCTTTGCTCCTGTTAACAAACGTTGATTTTCACGAGACTCACCAGCGCATGTGCAACGCTGACCTCATACGTCATCCGCCCGGAACTGCTTCCGTGTACAACTGTTGGCACAAGCTACATTAAAGTATTATTACGTTTTGAATATGGATATTTTTCTTACAAAAACACATGGAATCGCTACAGGAGGCCTTTGTTCACCCTCCGGAGGTGTGTGAGACACTTTTTTTTATGGATGGGCGCATAAGGTTTGAAACAACATCGGGGTGAGTAAATGTAAATAAACAGAATTAAAATTTTTGTGAAACTATCCCCAAATATTTTTTAAACTGAAATGATATTCAAAATATAATATAATAATAATAAAATAATAATATAAATTTCTTATTCATTTAACTGTTGTATAAAATCATTTCCAAATTGATGCTCCGACTTGCCATAGAGTCCTCGTAGCCATGAGAGGTGTGTCCATGTAGATGAGTAAATAAATCTGCATCTTAAGTGGCCTGTGGTGTTAACTTAACGTCGGTCGGCGTGTGGCGTTATTTTAACGCGTGGTGGCGTCTGCCGTTAACTTATCGCCTAACGGCGCTTATTTAACGCCTGGAGGCGATGAAAAGCACGCGAATTCTGAACCATTTGGCTTTCGATATGGCGACGCCTCTCACGGTACGAAACCGTAACAAATATGGTACTTTTTATTTATTTATTTAGGGCTTAAACGTTAGTCAAAATAACAACAAATATATTGATATTTATGAAAAGTTGGGTAGAAAATATTTATTTATTTAGGGCTGAAATGTTATTTAAAAATAACGTAACAAATGTATTTATTTATGGGTGAAACTTTAAATAAATAAAGTTGGACACTTTCTAATAATTTGTTACTCGTTGTTTTGAAAATATGATCCAAATAGCTACATTTATCACGTACTTACTTACTTATATGGCCTACTGGAACAAAACGGACATGATTTCGGATTTACCAGCTGTCCCACTTTGCTTATATTCAACATAGCAATATAATAATAACATAAAATGTTTAAATAACTTTAATCTGAGAGAGTCAGATTTCAGAAAATGTCATTACAAAATATACTGAAAATATAAATTGCCTATAGTAAATGATTTGCTGCACGTAAAACCTAAATATCTCACATAATAATTTCCTCAAGGTCTTGATGAAAAAGGAAACAAAATCATTAGAACTGTGGTTGTAACATCAGTCCAGTAGATGGTGCTGTAGTTCAATACATATAATAGAATCACATCCACAGAAACACTATATGCCCATCACACAGCAAAGAAAATAAAATATAGAATTAGTCAGATTAATTTAAAATAGACCAGGTTATTAGACCCATAAAAGTGATATGGAATAAAATGGAAAAACAGGCCTTTATTAACCCCAAATACAAACAATGAAATTAGTTTTATAGTACATTAATAACAGTAATATTTTTAATCATATTGTACTAAAATTAGCATGGAAAAACATTGATACATATATATTATGTTTTATTGATATTATGATTGAAGTGTGTGGCATCGCTAGATATTAGGACAGGTAATGATATTTCCCTTAAATATACCACAATTTTTTTTCTCAAAGAAATAATTTGACAAATATTTTGTTATTTCTAACTATTAATCACCACATACTAAAAATGGTCTGAGTCTGACAGCACCTAAACACAAAATCCAGACGTTCATATATTTCCCATTGGAGGGCACTGTTACTTTTTTGCACTTGAGCTGAGAAGGGCTTTTTGACTTTTAAGGTCATTCTGCCAGACAAATAATAAAAATTTGTCTATTTTTGGCACACATTTTGTAAAAAATTATGGCGACAGACAACGTTCGCACATTTTTATACAGCACTTGGATTTGTGAACCCATACCAAAATTGTGTACTAAAGGCCAGTGTGATAAAGCTACCACTAGTAGTTGCATAATATTAATAAAGCTATAACAACAGTGAAGCTTATATTAAGAGCATTTCTTGCTCATGATGAGGGATTCAGTGTTACCAGAGGCCATCAGTAGTTGGAAAGATTTTTATCATTCATATCTGCCACTACACAGAGTGACGGAGCGGGGAGAGGGAGGAAATGGCTTGACGTGTGTCACTACAGTGTGAAGCTATCTCTCCAAGCACTGTGCTGCTGACAAATACAGACGTGTAGGAAGCAAATGTAAAGTTTAACATTCATTCAGTGACAAACAGAAAGACTTCCACAGAGGGATTATGCCAGTTTTGACTTTACATATGTACAACAACAAAATATGTACAACCCTTCCTGATCGTGTTCAATTTGCATATTCAATTTTACAAAACAATTAATACTTTTAAACCTTTTAAAATATGAACACCGTCTGTTAGCGATGTCCAATTCTTCCTCTGCTCTCTGCGGTCAGTCCTTGCCTCGGTATGTGATGTTTGTGAATGTTGATGTGGCACCTTTGTAGAGGGGGTTGTGGCCCTATGAGAATAAAAATTAATTTCGCATTCAGTATGCATTTACACAAATCTACATTTGACCAATATGGTTTTCTAGCTTCAACCCTCCTTAAATGAATAGTTCACAAAAAAAAGTTTGTTTCTTCATGGGAACAGATTTAGAGAAATTTAGCATTACATCACTTGCTCTCCAGTGGATCCTCTGCAGTGAATGGGTGCCGTCAGAATGAAAGTTCAAACAGCTGATAAAAACGTCACAGTAATCCACACGACTAGTCCTCTAGTCCATTAATTAACGTCTTGTGTAAAGTTGTATGTTTTTAAGTAACAAAACCATCATTAATGCGTTTTTTTAACTTTCCATTGCTTCTGGCCAAAATACAATAATAACGCTTCGTCCAATGAAAGAGTCCATCCCCTGATGTTCTCTCACATCGAAATCCACCAACATTTTTGTTTATAGCTGTTTTCGCTTGTAAATGGTGCTTGATCTGAGCATATTTCCCTCCTGATTCAGAGGAGACGACTCTTTCACTGGAGAAAAGGCAATATTATGGATAGAGGACTCGTATTTTAGCTGTAAGCAAGAGTTAAGCTTTATAATGGATTTACAAAAAAGTTTTTTGCTGCAAGACTGGAGTTGTGTGGATTATTGTAATGTTGTTATCAGCTGTTTGGACTCTCATTCTGACGGCACCCATTCACTACAGACGACCATTGGTGAGCAAGTGATGTAATGCTAAATTTCTCCAAATCTGTTCTGATGAAAAAACAAACGCATCTTGGATGACCTGAGGGTGAGTACATTTTCAAAAAATTGTAATTTTCGGGTGAACTATTCCTTTAAACATGAGTCAAATTAAACATAAAAGTTTAAGTAGGGAACTCAGTATTGAGCAGAGGGGATCAGAGAGTTCACATGTGGCTCGAGATCTCACTGGGAAAGCCTAATTAGCATTGGATAATTTAACACTAGAACTACCAAGGCAGTCATTTTGACCTTTTTTAAATGTTGAAATGTAATAACTTTGTTGAAATAAAACCCATATAACTATAATACCCTGACTTTTCCTAAATGTGTGTATATTTTTTATTATAACATTGTTATTTTATTAAAATTACAAAACACAAACGAGTTAACAAAAGTTTCTACCTTGAATGGCCAAAAGCGGTCAAATTGACAGTTCGCATTACAGAAGGCGTATAATTTCTGCTTTTGCAATTTTTTTTCCCGCGGTTGAAGATGCACGTCACTGTTGCCTAGCAACTTTTGTTCTAGTTGTTTTTATATTCTATTGCTAAGCTAAAATTCCTGTTTGTAAAAAAGCCAGGTGGACACCTTCAATACTGCTGTCATTCAATCTGCCACAGTTCCACTATTATTATTTTTATGCTAGTGTAATGCTATAGCTAATGCATATCTTATTTTAGCCCCGACAAGACTGATATTGTGAAATAAACCAAACTAATTAGGCTTTTTTTAGCGACAGTGATGATGTTTATTATTACCTATACTATCATAACAGATCCATTTATTCATGGATCACGATTCCAGTGGTGGCTGCATAGAATTGTTTCCAATTCATGTGATCCAAACATTTCCAATAACTTCAGAGCGTTGTAAAGTTCAAAAGTAAAAATGTATTGAAAAAAAGATGTAAGTAATCATTTCCAAAATTCACAACGTTTTATCTACAGAAATATTCTGCTTCGGTTCATATTTGTTGGCATTTAGACTTTCAAATACAACATTTTCACTGCGGTGAAAAACTTTTGCTCTCCCGCTTGCCGGACACAAAGCGAGACACGCACATTCGGGAGCGGTCTACGTAGCTCTTACACAATTAAATATTACAAAAAAATATCATATTTTTAGGGTGATTGCGTCATAAACTATGACGACAGACATTCAATGCTTCATTGTAAAACCTCAAAAGAAGCTTCGAATGTAAATATGATATGACAAAAATGGCATTGAGTTCAGTCTAGTATGAACAGTCAGAATGACCGCTATGGCCATTCTAGTAGTTATAGAATTCCGGTAGTTCTAGTGTTAAAACAAAACTTGCCCAGCGGTGCGGAGGCTTTTTCTTTGTTCTGAAGGGAAAAACAGCATGCTACTGAAACAGTAAAATCCTGCCAAAAGCTACTTACACACAGTAATTTGTGCTTTTTACATTAAAGGGGTCATATGATGCGATTTCAAGTTTTCCTTTCTCTTTGGAGTGTTACAAGCTGATTGTGCATAGATAAGATCCCTGAAGTTGCAAAGACTAAAGTCTCAAAACCAAAGAGATATTCTTTATCAAAGTTAAGACTCTGCCACGCCCCCCTAAAACGGCTCATTCTAACACGCCCCCACATATCTACCACACTATATGGAAATATTTGCATAATGCCACCCAAATGTTCA